TCCTGGAATTTGTAGAGTGGCTTTGTGTAGTAGGTGTCCTGTAGGATCCAGTGGCTCAGGCTCCCCAGTCACCTGAGCTGGGCCGGGCTGTGTGCACTGTCTTGTTGTAGTTGAGCCTTGGTTGCTGTTGGTATCACTGGGAGGAATTGACCACCAAGCCAATTGGCTGTGAGGACCAGCTGCAACTATAGCTGAAGAGCTGTTGTGCTGGAGAGTCCCCTATGGAGCAGGATTTGCTTCAGTGGGGCTTTGGTGATCACCAAGTGCACCCCTTCAGTATGTCACTCATGGATGTGGTAGGGTTGTAATCCAGCGTAGTTGAAGCTGACCACCAGGTGCACTGTCTCTGGGGCCTCCTGGGAGATGCAAAGTCAGCCTCTGTCTGTACCCTGCCCAGGGCCACCCAGCATGAGCTACACAGCAATCTATAGATGGCTGTTACTTATGCTGGGCTTGGGGGTATCCAGGAGAGGTCAAGCTAAGAACCAATGCAGGCTGCTGCTAGTGCTGTGCCTGGGGCCATTTATTGAGAGGTATGGGGCATGCTGAGGCCAGCTGCTGCTTGTTTGAGACATTTTAGGAAAGTCTTAAGCATGAGGCTATAGAGGCCACTTGCATAGGAAAGCCACTGGAAATGGCTTGGATGCGTTTGCAATTAGGGAGAGGTGGGGTCTCTGGGCATCACCAGGGTGGGGCCAAAGGTGTGAGTCAGGTTGATGGAGATTCAGAGAAGGTGCCTGCCTGCTGGCTCTGCAGCGGAGGGCTTGTCAAAGGAGCAGTGGGCTCTGCCAGCTCTTCCATCTGTGAGAAAGCTGCCTCTCCAGCTCTCATCCTGATTCCAGGCAAGTTGGTTCCTCCCTGAATGCCCCAGGTTCCTTTCAAGCTGCTGCCCAGTGCTGGAGCCAAGAGGGAGTGTGTCAGGGCGAGTCTGTGTGGGCCCTTTAAGGGAAGCTGCCTGGCACTCCTGCAGCCTCCGTGTCCCTCAGCCTCAATTCCCGCTGGTATTCACAGCTTGAAGTTGTGGGGACCTCTCTTCCCCGCCCTGGGACCCTGGGATGGGGGCCTAATGGGGTGGGACCCCTCACTCCTCCTGGAAACCTCCGCCATCAAGGTATCCCTCCTGATTGTAAACCGCGGCACCAAGGCCGCAGCTCTGGAATTCAGCCCAGATCTGCCCTGCATCTCTGCCCCTCCTACCAGTCATGACGCTTCTTCGGTTCCCTAGTTGTAAGACTTCTGTTCAGCTAGATTCCAGGAGCTTCTGAATGATGGTTGTTCTGCATTTTAGTTGTAATTTTGATGTGGTTGTGGGAGGCAGCAGGTACTGCGTTTACCTACATCCCCACTTTCTTGTTTCTCTGTCTGTAAATGACTTTTTCATTTGGCAGAATGCTGTTGAGGTTCCTTATGGTTTAGTATGTATCCATGGTTCATTACTTTTTAATGCCAAATAATATTCCATTGTATGAATAGACCACATGCTGTTTATCCACTCATCAGCTAATGGAATTTAGGTTGTTTCCACTTTGGGGTTATTATGAATATATTGTTACAAATATTTGTGTACAATTTTTGTGTGTGTGGCAATATGTTTTCATTACTCTATGTAGGTGTCTAGGAGTAGAAGTACTAGGTCATATGGTAACTCTGTTTAAGGCTTGGAGGAACTGCTAAACCAATTTCCAAAGTGGCTATGTTGTTTTACATTCTACCAGCAATGTGTGAGTTTCTCCACATCCTTGGCAGCCTTGTCTTTGTCCGTCTTTTTTATTCTAGTCATTCCAGTGCATGTGAAGTGATATTTCATGGTGCTGCCTTGGCGACCATTAGTGTTGAGCATCTTTCCAAGGGCTTATTGACCATTCATACATTTTCTTTGGAGAAGTGTTAATTCATTCCTTTTTGTGGCTGAAATATATTCCATTATATAGATATACCAGATATATCAGTTAATGAACATTTGGGTTGAACGCATCTTTTGGCTATTATGGATCATGCTGCTATAAACATTCATGTACACGTTTTTCTGTGGACATAAGTTTTCATCTTTCTTGGGTACATGCTTAGGTATGGAATTGCACCATTTTACATTCCCCCAGCAGGATATGAGGGCTCTTATTTCTCCACATCCTTGCAAACACATTATTTTACCCCATTCTGTGGGTTATCTTTTCATTTTCTTGAGCATATCCTTTGAAGCATAAAAGTTTTAAATTTTGAGGACATCAATTTATCCATGTTGCTTTTGTAGCTTATGCTTTTGTTGTCACATCTAAAAATCCTTTGCCATAAGGTAGTTCTATTTTTAATTTTTGAGGAATCTCCCAGCAATTCCACTTCTGGGTATTTATCCAAAACACTAATTTGAAAAGACACATGCACCCCTATGTTCACTGCAGTGTTATTTACAATAGCCAAAATATGGAAACAAACGAAATGCCCATCAACAGACAACTGGATAAGGAAGATGTGCTTATCTGCAATGGAATATTACTCAGCCATAAAAAAAGAATGAAATCCTATCTTTTACAACAACATGAATTGACCTGGAGAGTATTACACTAAGTGAAATAAATCAGACTGAGAGAAAAAAGTGCCATATTATTTCACTTATATGTGAAATCTAAAGAACAAAAATAAACAAGTAAAACAGAAACAGACTCTTAGATACAGAGAACAGACTTATGGTTGCCAGAAGGGAGGGTGTTGGGGGGGCTGGGTGAAAGAGAGAAAGGGATTAAGAAGTACAAATTGGTAGTTACAAAATAGTCATAAAGATATAAAGTACAGCATTGGAAATATAGTCAATAATATCGTAATAAGTGTGTTTGGTGCCAGGTTGGTACTAGACTTACTGGGGGGATCACTATGTAAATTATACAAATGTCTGACCATGATGCTGTACACCTGAAACTAACACAAAATAATATTGAAGTCAACTGTAATTGAAAAAAAAAAATCCTTCATGAAATCCAAGGTTACGAAGGTTTACCCATGTTTTCTTCAAAGTTTTGCAGTTTTAGCTCTTACATTTAAGCATTTGATCCATTTTAAGTTAATTCATGTATGTGGTGTGAGGTAAGGTCCAACTTCATTCTTCTACAAGTGGCTATTCATTTGCCCCATTTGTTAAAAAGACTATTTTCCCTCCACTGAATTGTCTTGCTACCGCTGTTGAAAATTAATTGACCATAAACATAAGGGCTTGTTTCTGAACCCCCAATTCTGTTTCATTGACCAACATATCTGTCCGTAGCCAGTACCACACTGTGTTGATTACTTCAGCAGGATAGCAATTTTGATACTGTGAAGTGTGAGTCCTTCAACTTAGTTTTCTTTTTTAAGGTTGTTTTTGACTATTCTGGGTTCCTTGCATTTCGATACGAATTTTAGGATCTGCTTATCAATATCTGCAAAAAAGTCAGCTGGGACTGTGATGGGGATTGTTATATCACTTTGGGGAGTATTGCCATTTATTTATTTAAAAAAATTTTTTTAACCCTCACCTGAGGATATGTTTTTATTGATTTTGAGAGAGAGAGAGAGAGGGAGACAGAGGGAGACAGGGAGAGAGAGAGAGAGAGAAAGAAACATTGATTGGTTGTCTCCTGTATGCGCCCCACTGGAGATTGAACCCGAAACCTAGGTATGTGCCCTGACTGGGAATCAAACCCAAAACCTTTTGGTGCCTGGGACAACACTCCAACCAACTGAGACACTTGGCCAGGGTGGGACTATTTCCATTTAAACAACATTAACTCCTCTGGTTCATGATCATGAGACTTCTTTCATCTTATTTAGATCTTACTTATCTTCAGCAATGTTTTGTAGTTTTCATTGCATAAGTCTTGGATATTTGTCAAATTGATTCATAAATATTCTATTCATTTTGATGCTATTGTAAGAGGAATTGTTTTCGTATTTTTATTTTCAGATTGTTGGCTACTAGCATATAAACAATTGAATATTATATATAATCTTGTATCCTGCTTTCTTGTGTGGCTAGTGAGATGATCACGTTTTTTAGTTGTTTACTGTATTGGCGCGGTATATTACATGAATTGACTTGGGGATGTTAAACCAACCTTGTATATTTGGGATAAATCCTATCTGGCCAGGTTGTGTAATGCTGTTTATGTGCTGCCAGATTTGGTTTGATGGTATTTTATTGAAAATCTTTGCATCTGTATTACTAAGAGATACTGGTGTATAGTTTCCTTTTTTATGATGCCTTTGGTTCTGGTATAACACTTGTCTCATACAATGAGTTAGAACTTGCTCACTCCTCTATTTTTTGGAGGAGTTTATGTAAGATTGGTATTAATTTTTTAAATATTTGGTAGAATTCACCAGTGAAGCCATCTGGGCCTGAGTTTTACTTTGTTGGAAGTTTTAGAATTACTAATTCAATCTCTTTGCTTGTGATTGTTCTATTAAGATTATTTTATATCGAGTCAGTTTTGGCGGTTTCTGTCTTTCTGAGAATTTGTCTGTTTCATCTAAGTTATCTGATGGATTGTTTGTGGTATTCCCTTTTATCTGTTTTCATTTCTGTGAGTTGGTATTGATGTTACCTCTCTTATTTCTAATTTTAATAATTTGTGGTCTCTCTTTTTTCTTAGTCTGTTAACTAGGGATTTGTCAATTTTGTTCTGGATTATGTATCACTTTTATAATCAAGTTACTATCAGAAGACATAAAAAGTGAGGGGTAATCCTTATGACTGGAGGTGGGAGAACATCAAGATAAATTCAAGCTTTTGCTGCCCCACTCCTCCCACGCTCCAATATGGTTGATCCCAAGTTTTCCATAACTCTCTTCACCATCTCTGCTTGGAGAGGTGGGCAGGGGAGCTTGGGGACCACGGGCAGCTGGTGGCTTGGTCATCAGTTACCAGCAGTGATGGGCCATATGCTGTGGGCAGGGATCATATCATGCCACTGCCCCGAGATAGAGGAAACTCTGGTCCCATGGCCATTCAGTCTGATGTCATAACTCACCTGTACTGCTTCTGCCGGGTTTCCAGTTCTTTACGTCTGTGCTGCTTGAGAATGTGAATTTGGTCATCGCGGGCCAACTTTGCTGTGAGGAAAGGACAAGTGTGAGAAGAGCCTGAGGAAGAATGATGCCTTGCCCATGCCGAGTGCCTCACATGAATCATCTTACTTAAGCCTCAGAACACTCCCGTTTTATTAAATGGGACTCGGAGAGGTCGAATAGCTTTGCCCTGGAACTGTACTCAAGGTCGCACACCTAATTAGTGGACAAGACTCAAATCAGCACAAGACTCAAATCCCATGCTCTTAGTCACTACTTTTACAAAAGACAAATCCAGTTTCTCCTCCTGCCTGCTCACCCAGCAAGCTTGGTGGCCTGCCCCTTGGGGCCTGAGGGTCACGTCCAGATGCATGAGCCAGGCTTGATTGGCATTGGCCTGTATGGGGCCAGGCCAGTGACTCTCTGTCCCCCTCCTGCAAGGAAGCGTGTGCCCATCTCTGGCCTGCCTGTGGGTTTTCACCTGGGGCTCTAACCTTCCGCTTGCCCCCCACCAGGACATTGCCTCTGTCATGAACCCTGGGCTCTGGCACAGAGCTGCCTTCTCCTCATGTTCCTTGTTGGGCTTCTTTAAACACCGCAGAATAGTCCACTCCTACTTCCTTCTCACGCAGAGCAGCACTGAGTGGCAGCTGACTGCAGGCTCCCTGTGGCTGATAGAGCAGCAGAGACTCCTGGCTCTCCTGCTTCAAAGCCCAATTGGCTGCCGACATTGCCCAAGCCCCTGTGCTGCCTACACGGAGGACTGAGAAAGAAGCTTGATTCTAAAGCACTATGTAGCGTCTTAGAGTGTGGGCTTTAGAAGGGACACGCCTGGGTTTGGGTGTGGACCTGGGTTCTGTCACTTAAACCTGTGTGACCTGGAACAAGTTGCCTTGGCTTCGGTACAGGTGAATGGAGACAATAGTGCCTACTTCAGGGTCACGGTGGGATCTAGTGAGGGTGCAGTGAAGCACCCACGCAGTGCTCGGCACCCAGGAACCACCAAGAAACGGGAACAGGCGTCATTGTCCTTAGAATCCTAATGGACCTGAGCCGCCTCTTCTCCCCCCTGAGCCGGCTGCAAAGGGGGTAAGGGCAGGGTGGGGAGAGGTCAGGCCATGACTCCTCTTTATACTATTATTTCAGATGAAGGCAGTGAGCACAGCCAAGGGATTCCCGAGCTCAGGGATCCCAGAGCTCCCCTGAAAGGGGGCTATAATAATGCTCTCCAGCTCTCTGTGGTGAAGGGCCAGACTTTTTAAACATCCATTCCATCAAGACTGATATTTTTGTAAAATACAATAAAAATTAACTACTTAAAAAAAAAAAAGAACAAGCCAAAGATGTTCAACGTACATGCCCTGTTTTTATTATCATATGCAAGTCATAGAATTTTCCTGGCAAGTTGCTAAAAGTTCATGAGGCTACTCCCAGCCTCTGCACTTACCCCATGCAGACCGGCCCCCAGCAGCTCCTAGCCACACTCCTGTCACAGGGCCACCACCAGAGCAAAGTCTGTGATCTCTTTCCTGCCATAAGGTCAGGGGACAAAAGTCCTTCTAGCTCCAGTCATTCAGTTCAGAAATATTCTTGGAATTTGGCTTCTTAAGTTACCAACTCCATGTCAGAAACAATGGGGTGTGGCCTGATGGTCTCCGAACACTTGGTAGAGAACTTTTCCTACTTTGCCTCGGGTTTCTTAGATGAGAAAGGGGGACAATAACCTCATTTTATCTACTCCGCGGAACTTCTGTGAAGAACCAACGACCTAGTTATGCACTAGGAGCACTACCCGGCCCCTGACAGGCACAGTGGGCCCCTGCTCCTCGCGCTGGTGGATGCCTGGCACCTGAAGGTGGATTCTCCAGGGTTAGAGGTGAGCAGACCCAAGGGCAGGGGCTTGAAGGTAGAAACCTGCCTGGGCCGGGAGGTGGCTCTGGAGCTGAGAGGCTGGTGTGCAGGGGGTCGCTCAGCGCTGGCAGCCTTGGCTTCCTGCACTGCGGGCCAGCCACCTGTCTCCCATGAGGAATGGCCCCCTGAGAAACAGCCAGGCTGGGCGCTGCACATCTGAGGGTCTTGCTTTAGAGGGCAGATTTTAGGTTCTTTCCTCTTTTGGCAAAAAGTGGGACTTCAAATTTAACAAGTGGTGAGTGCAGACCAAGCTGCCACAGCCCCCTGCGTGGGGGCCCTGGAGCCCCAGCCCTCGGCGATGTCACAGAGGGCAGTGTGGCCTGCTGTCTGATCTGGAGAGCGATGCCACAGGCTTGACTTCGCTCAGGAGAGCTGCTCAGGGGTACACCCAGGGGTATTTGTTATGCGGGAACCTACCTACCCTCTGACAAGGGGTGTGGCTTCCCCATGATCTTCCCCATGATCTTCCCCTTGAATGGAGGGAGGCCCTGCTGTCTGTGTGCCTGGGGCCTCCCGATCCGCTTCCCCCTCCCCCTCCTAGCCCAGGGTTTATTAGTGACTGGAGGAAGTTCACGCCCCCTGCAGGTGGAGGACGTTCACGCCCCCTGCAGGTGGAGGACGTTCACGCCCCCTGCAGGTGTTGGAAGGTCACGACCCTGCAGGTGGAGGAAGTTCCCACCCCTGCAGGTGGAGGAAGGTCACGCCCCTGCAGGTGGAGGAAGTTCCCGCCCCTGCAGGTGTTGGAAGGTCACGCCCCCTGCAGGTGTTGGAAGTTCCCGCCCCCTGCAGGTGGAGGAAGTTCCCGCCCCTGCAGGTGCTGGAAGGTCAAGCCCCCTGCAGGTGGAGGAAGTTCCCGCCCCTGCAGGTGTTGGAAGTTCTCGCCCCCTGCAGGTGTTGGAAGGTCACGCCCCCNACCCCTGCAGGTGGAGGAAGGTCACGCCCCTGCAGGTGGAGGAAGTTCCCGCCCCTGCAGGTGTTGGAAGGTCACGCCCCCTGCAGGTGTTGGAAGTTCCCGCCCCCTGCAGGTGGAGGAAGTTCCCGCCCCTGCAGGTGGAGGAAGTTCCCGCCCCTGCAGGTGCTGGAAGGTCACGCCCCCTGCAGGTGGAGGAAGTTCCCGCCCCTGCAGGTGCCCGGCCCGGAGCGTCCCCAGCCAGGAGCCGGCACCGTCATTCTTCGCAAGGACACAGCTCTTTCGGGGCGGGTCTGCGCGCCCTGCGGGCTCCCCGGGGCTCCGGAGTGAGGGGCCCAGGCCGCTCACCGCGCCCGTCTCGCAGCACCACCTCGCCCTCCCCGGTGATCCAGCGGTAGCAGGGGAACTCGATGTAGTCGCCGTAGGGCGTCTTCAGTGTGATGTACTTCAGGTACCAGTCGTCGTGCAGCCAGTACTTGCGCTTCTCGATCTTGACCAGCTGGATGTCGCCCAGCTCTTCATCCACGATCACATCGTAAGAATCAACCTGAGGAGGAGAAAAGGCAAATCAGACCCCCCGGGGCCCCCGAGGCTGCATGTTCCCTGAGTTCATTTAGCAGGGGCGTCTGCGGGCTGCCTGCCGTCCGGGGCCCCGGGGCTGCGGCCTGTGCCACGGCTCTGGGGCCCGTGTCCGCTCTCGTGGCAGGTGGAAGGAAGGGTGGAGGCTGGAGCACGCATCGGGCCTTTCAGGACCGGCAGGTGTGGGACAGCCTGCACTCCATGCCTTCCTCGGACCCTTGCTAAGCCCGATCTCCCCAGTCCTGAGCTCTCTCCTTGGTGGCAGGGCCCAGAGCTCTCAGCACGCTAGCCAAGTCGGTGGAGGGCAAGGGTGTTCGTGGTGCATGGGCCTCAGGAGTCTTCACTCCCTCTCCTGCCAGCTGCCAGAGAGCCCTGGAGGGCTCCATGGGTAAAATGAGAAGTTGGTTCCTGTCAGCAGACCTCTGGGCTTTGAGCGCAGTGAGCAGCTCGCATGTCGTGGTTGCCACTGATGCCAGATGCTTGTGGTTAGAAAGCGACCTTCTTGCTATGCCCTGTGGTCTTAGCCTGGGCCCCAAGGGCTGAGGAGCCAGGTGTGTGTGTGAGAAGACACTTCTCAGTCCCCAGCAGGTGTTTGAGCACATCTGTCCTGCCAGGATGTCTCCTGCAGGGTGAACGAATCCTCCTGCCCCGTGATATAATCCTGACCCCAGGGCCTGGGACCCTGGGGGGTGCAGGACCCACAGGGCCTGTCTGATTCTGGGGAGAAGCCCCAGGCCCTGTGTGCAGAGTTGGGAGAGGAGCTCCAACGGGGGCTGGATGACTTGAGGAGCTAGGAGGAGGGGAGGAAAGGAAGAACACAGCTCTGGCTGGGTAGCTTCTGGGGTTGGGAAGAGAAGAGACACCCTGAGCTGAGGCACCAGGGGTCCAGGACAGGGAGGCTCTGATGGGACCAGAAGCCCACCCTGAGCCCTGCCTGCCATGGGATCTGCAGAGATCTCAGCCCTCCTGTGAGGCCAAGACAAGTTTCTCCAGGAGTGTGGGGGAGGGCAGAGAGGTGCAGAGGATGAGGCGAGCCAGGTGCCAGGGCAGCACGGGCAGCCTTGGGGGTGCCCAGATGACCCCCCTAGGCCTGGGTAAATTGTTTTACTCCCTGAGGCTGTTTCTTCACCTGTCAGGAAGCCAGTACTTGCTTAGCTTTCAAGACCATAGAGAAATCCAGTGATGTGGTGCCTGAGGGGCTCCCTTCTNTAGCTTTCAAGACCATAGAGAAATCCAGTGATGTGGTGCCTGAGGGGCTCCCTTCTCCAGGCTGCAGGCCACTGGCTGCTGTACATCAGAAGGACCACCTAGCCCTCCGCCCTGACTCCTGGGGCTGGGTCACAGGGCAGCAGGACCCCACACTTCCTGCGAGCCACCACCGCGAGCTAGCATGGGCTCCTGCGCTGAGGTCCACCCTAACTACACGCCACATTGAGTAGCCAGAAGTAGATGTGGAAGGGAGAAGTTGACCCTCAAACCTCACGCTCAAACCTCTTGGCTCAAAATCTGGAGGGGTTCCTGTGAAGGTGGAGCAGGGGCCAGGAGCAGAGGGAGAACTGGAGGGGGTGAGGGGGAGCAGAGGGAGAATGAGGGTCGGGGGGGAG